TTTCATCTGTTGAGTGGGGTCATAATAGCGTAGCTTGGGAACGGAAAGCGATGGCTTGCTGAAAGCTATTTGCTCATCTGGACCCCATTGCCACTTACTGTCTTTGTGCAGCAGATTCCTAAGTGGTATTGTGAGGCTGGATTCATCAGGAATTAATTAAGCTAAGTACTGGACCTTTTCAAAAGAGCCTTTGCAGACTTTTCTTATCATCAGGTAGAGGCATTTTTTCGATGGCATCCATTTTGCTGTCTTTGCTCTGATGTCACTCCCTTGCCTGAGCAATCTTTTTCTGTACATCTTACAAACTGAACGTGTGGCATGGGTCCTTTCTATCACTTGCCTCAGAATGTTGTCATACTGTGCAGAAGCAATGATCAGCTAAGATGTGGACACCCAAGATGACACCAAAACTCTTGCAGTTCTTATGCTAGAAGATCTCACTAGCACGTTAGATGCCAAAAGGAAGTCTGTTGAAATGATATCACCCCCGTGGGGTATTCATAGTTCAGCTGACTCATTGTTCTGTGCCACATTCCAGTAGCCTTTTTTTCAGCGAGATTTTCGTGGTGAAGATTTTCTTCCCTGCCAGGTTTCTCTGGACATCCACTGCAGGGAAATGTTACTTTTTGCCTTGTTGAGGAGCCTGGAGTCTAGAAACAGGATGACTGAGTTCTTTGGAGTGATGATAAGTCTACTAAAACTTGCTGTGGGCTTGATCTCTTCTGACTCAGGGCATGCTTCAGTTGGTCCACGAAGGGTGAGAAATCTTCCTATGCTCATGAGGAACAGGCGATACTGCTGGGTCCACATGAACATGATGCATGGCTGAAAAACATCCCTGAGTAGGTTCAGCACCACACTTGCTGCAAAGGCTAATAATGGTACGTCTCCTTTGACAGTAATGCAGGATCTGCGTGAGATGCACCTTTCTTCCAAAAGGCCATGGATGTCATTCTGGAAGCAATTCTTGCACTACCAAATGTAATCAGGTTAACACCTGGTGAAGGCATTTGTTTTTTAATCTTCCGTCACAATGATCTGGCTATGACTTCTGGAATAATGTTTATATCTTCACCAGTATCCAGTTTGAAATAAACTTTCCAGCAACAATCACCTCCTCACACTGGGAAACAGCTGTGTCTTCTGTTCTGCACTCCAGCTTGCAAAACCAGAGCCTACAAAAAAACAAACACTACATACAAATATTGTTCCAAGAGCTGAGCTAGTAGCCTGGCTCTGCAGTTTAGTAAAGTGAACAGTTAAAACAAATAGCTCCATAGGCTGGGCAATTCCTGGGATTATAGGGGATGGCACACTTACTGCAGGCTTTCTCTTGTCCTGCATACTTTGCAGGAAATGTTGTGGATTTTCATATTTCTGAGGACTGCTTTTGAGGTACAACATGCATTTGCCCCTCTGCAAATCGAGGTCCTTGCAAGTGCTGAGCTGTTTCTGCTTCAGCTCTGCCAGTGTTCAACCTCAAGTCAAGGCTGAATCATGCTAACTTAGCAATCAGACCCTTTGCCTTTCTGAGCTCACACCACAAATAACAGGATCCTTAATGAAGAATTCACATGGGTCTTCAAACTCACATGTTTGTGCTAGGGGCTTCAGTCCTGTAACATAAAGACCAGTGTTTTCCCCTTCCTTCTGGGCTCTTGTAAAGAAATATACAACAGGTGCACAAATACAGGACTGACAGAGATCAGAAGAACACAGAAAATGTCCTACCAATTGCATTATGGAAGGAGTGGTAGCTACAGCCAATCTCCTTTTAACTTTTCCCAGCCCATAATATACCACAGCCCATTTCAAAGTGTCAAACCCAAAATGTAGCAAGACATTCTCCAGAGAGCATGTACATCAAGACTGGCGATGTGTGGGTGTTCCTGTCTACAGGTAGAAACTACCTGGATTACACTGACCCTGGAGGATCACTGTGATCTGCATCGTCCAAACATTTTTGCAGTTCATCTTACACCCTGTAAGGTAATGTGAGACCAATGGTATATAGTAGCTGAAGATTGTAAGACAATGAATGTACTGATGAATTCAGCCTTTCAAAGGGATTCACTTTGGATGTTGTGAGAATCACTCTTGTAGAGAATAAATTCATGACATGAATTCAAGCAGCACTGACTTTATTATCGCGATTGCAATGGCGGGTGTCCCACACTGCAGGCACACCCTGAACACTAAATGCATTCCTTATATTCCCTATCCCACCCGCATAGTCCCTCCCCCTTTCACCTACTGGGTAGGCTACTAGGAGGTCTTAGTACAATCTTCTCCTATGTTCCCCCACCCGCTCATGCACCTCATGTTTATGCTAATAATCTATTACCTATGCAAAGTGTGTCAGTTACTATTCATAAGCCTATTAAGCTTGCACACTACTCACTGTAAGTTCACTAGTTCATCTTGACCTTACATCAGTCTTGCCCTGTGACCACTTGCTAATTTCCTATCTCATCCTCCCAGTAGTTTTATGAGATAACTACTGGGAGGATGAGATAGGAAATAGCAAACTTTCTTCCAAGCCAATTATCCCTTTCTCCCCTCCACATTTCTGTTTCTTTTGAGAATAGCCAGCTGCAAAAAGAATTACCTGCTATCTTCTGCAAAAGCAACAATTAACCCTTTCCTACAACATGAAACTTACTGTTGCCTGTTGAGATTTTGCTTTTTATGAATAATACATTTTATAAATGAATATATGTTCATTTATAAACTGGCCCAGGGAGCCTTTCTGGCTAAAGGGGTGGGATATGAATCCAACTAAATAAAGTTCTTGTAATACAAATAGTCCGAAGTGGATGCAAGGGTGTGTGTGTGTATCGGGGGTGGAGGGGGTGGAGATAATGAATGGCTGGCACCAAGGCTTGCTTTTCCTTATTTGACACTTCAGACATAGTGTTCTTTTACTAGGTTCGCTGTTCTGTAACCGCAAAAAACAGCTGCAATGAAAAGCATTGGGAGGACAATCTGTTCTGATGAAGTGCTATGCAAGTCCTAGCAAGTGTGGACTCCTCTCAGAGCGGGCTCCCTGCTTCGGAGTGCCCCAGGCCTCATTTTGGAGCTCTTAATCCGACGCGCGGGGCCACCCTGCAGGCCCTGCACGGCTGCATCCGCGCCTCCCGCCGGGCCTACTCCTGGGGGCGGGGCCTGCTTTGCCCTGCCGGGAGAAGCACCGTGAAAATGCGCCAGGGTCCACTGAGGCCTTAACGGGGGCCTCTTGTCTCGCCATTTGGGACCGTGGGTTCCACAGCAAGAAGCCGTCTCCCGAGGAGGTGAGGGGGCTTTCCCACCCGCTGCTCTAAGGAAATCCCCCACACTGCCGAAGCGAGCGGCGCCGAGGAGGCTGGACAGCCTGCACCCTCGATGTCTGCTTCCTTTCCGTCCAGTTCATTGGCCCTTCGTGCCTCTGGGCCCTTCTCCTCCTCTACGACTTCTGCTTTCTTCATGCTCTTACTTGCAGCTTATTTCTAGAATCGTCCTGCAACCTTCCTGCCCGTTTCATTGCTGTCCGAACTCGTAGCGACTTTCTTCTTCACTTCTGCTGCAGCCTCTTGAATTGATACTTCTTCACCCAGAAAACAGCTATAACAACACAATTTCCTCATTCCAAAACTGGCTCCCCTCATTCTGTCAAATGTGGGGAGAAAAGCCATTTGGGGAGGCAGATAGCTATTTTGGAGCAGTTAAGTACCCTTCACTCCCCTCAGTTTTCCAATCCACTTGCTTCCTCCTGCAGTGACTGTTTCCAGTTTAGAAAGAAAAAGTGCTGTCAGGCTTTCTTTTCATACATATGTGTGTAATGTGTTACAGGACTCTAATGCTGCCCTGGTTGCTCCCAACTCCTTTGGTAATGTCTCCTTTACTCACGCACCTTTCCCTGAGGACTGTAATAGCAACATTGGCCTGCTTCCCTGCTGAACCATGCAGGTACAGTTTCTGCCATTCATACACACAACTAATCCCACTGCTTCAAAGTGTAATATACAGTAGTGTAATAACTCTGCCTGTTTCTGATATTCGGGTGTGATAAGTGTTTATAAAACCAACCTGGCACCATGCCATCAAGTTGTCTCCTACTTACAGCACCCCTGTGCATGACAGCCCTCCAGAATGACCTATCCATGACATCCCTGCTTGACTGCTAAATTCCAGGCTGTGGTTTCCTTTATGAAGTCAGGCCATCTTTTATTTGGTCTTCTTTTGTCCTCAACTTTTCCTAGCATGATTGTCTTCTCCATTGCGTTTTGCTTTCTCATGATGTGTTCAACATACGTGCAATATAGGAATCAGCAGACTTAGTGGAATTACTGGTTTTGCAGAAGTACACAAATCCTGAGGGGGAAAATCTAGGGGACCTGTAAAAGCCCCCTTAAAAGTTTAAAAAAGGGTGGTGGGGGATCTAAGGATAGTAGCCAAAGGATTTCCTCCTGGAGAGTTCAACATATATTCTAAAGTTTTCCCCCCTTTGACGTATAGTAACTTTAGCATTAATGTTGAAATCCCAGGCATCTTCTGCCATCCTCCTTCAGCCTCCTTCACCCTTTGCCGTTGGAATACTATTCACTGCCATGGAGTTGAACTTGGCTTATTTATGAATTGCTTTGATTTGGTTTGGGTGACATGACAACCCATAATGGGTAAATAGCTGGCGTGTAGGGGTTAGGGTTGTAATATAATTTGAACTCAAGCTACTTCCTGCACAGGAGCTTATTTTTTGGTGATAAACCACCCTGGCAACCCATAGCTTTTTCTAAGGATTATTTGATTCACGAAGGGTTGTTGTGTTGTACAAATCTGGGAGAACAGTTGCATCGTGGTTTGTGGGGATCAGCTAGTGAGCCACTCAGCCAATTCCTTCCCAATCTGCACAATTTTC